TTTGAACTCTTCTGCGCAGTGGCATAATGTGATCGCTGCTTTCACTGACCATTGCATTAAACAACTGCCCTTCCAGCTAAAGCACACCAATATCTTCACTTTATTGGTGCTGGTTGGGTTTCCTGAGGTAAGTGGCCTATCTATACTAAAGAAAACAAAATTGATTAGAGTTTTTAGGTTTCTATTTCTAAATACTATGGATTTCATCAATTGGAGACATCCATTATAAACTGTGAAAACACGGTGTATGTCAGAGTTCACATCTTTCCACTTGCGCACAATTAATGCTTATCTAATGAGGAATAACATAGCTGGTTTTGTCTTGCGTTTCTTTCAGTGCTACTTGGCACTATCACGAGAAAACCAGCTTAGTATGTTTGAGTATCAAAAAGGGCTTTTTATGCAAGCAAAACAATCCAGTCTCACTCTTGATAGTCATAACTCTGATACATCGCCTACGTAGCATTAAGTTGGTTGTTTTAAGTTGGCATTTTTAGACAAGTGAACTGCCATTTTTCTAAAGATCAGCAAATACCTGGCAGTGAGCACATTATTCAGCTAAAAAATCGATACCAAATACAAGTAATTGTAACCAATGTAAAAGGTGACTGTGTAGTTACAAATAAGTATTCCAAATAATAATTGAAACTTTTGCTGCGATTTCAGGTGCTGTGTATGGGGACTCGTTCTGTGTACGTGGATAATGCTAATGAGCCTCATAACGTGATCATCCTGAAGCATTTCACTGAGAAAAACAGGGCAGTTGTAGTAGACATCAAAACCCGAAAGAGAAAAACAGGTTCTGTGACATTTTTATTTTATCAAAGAATCACAGAGTATTTCCTTACAGTTTCTTATGAATACCCAAAAGCATATTTTAACTAGACCACTTTGTGCAGGTCTGCAGAGTTTGAATTCCATTATTAGCAAGTGGCCTGATTTTTTTTCCTTGCAGGTTAAACGAAATTGTGAAGCTTCTGCAGTAAAGATTCTGAGACTCATTTTCGTTTTAAAACTCTGACATTTATTTTTATTCAGAAAATGATTTAGGGAACTAGTTGTTGAGACCATTTTATTAATTGAGACATCTCAGAAATAGGCTTTTGATTAAGCTGTTGTTTCTGGTTTGAGATTTGCTTACTCCTTGTGTCTTATCCTGTACAAACACGTGCTTAATGTTTTAAAACAATTGCAAATCTAAAAAATGTCCGTGCTGCCTCTGTGTACTTAGGTGCTGCCATATAAAGGAAAGGTACTCAGAGCCTGAGCATTTTTGGGATAGTCCATTTTTTTTCTCCAAAAATACTCTGCATTTTTATGAAGTGCCTGTTTCAGCTGTGGGCAAGATGTGCTACCTACCAGCAAATGAAGACCAAGAACAAACACACAAACATAGCTGTTATCGATTAATTGCTTCTGAAATGATGCTGTTGGCTGTTTTTTCCTGATCCTCTAAAAAAGCATGCCATGAGGACAGGCCTAACTTTTTTAATTGCATGCTTTATAAAATGTCAGGAGTCTTATCTTCTCTGTTTCCCTTCTGTCCAGAAGAACTATTCAAAACAGTTTAGATATCCCTAAAATTTGAGACAAAAATCAAAAAGAGCTATACAGCAGGAAATAGTGTACACTCCAGAGAACGTGTCTGGATATTTTAGAATTATGCATTCTAGGGCACATTGGTAGAGTGTGTTGGCTAGTATGGTGTCTAAAGGCACTAAAAAAACCCAACAACAAAACCCACCGGCAAACAACAAAACCCCAGAGCTAGATGTTGCCTGCTGGGTCCCATTCATTGTACCAGAGAGAATTTTCTTCCTGTATTTCGCCTTGCTTAAAAGTTAGTCAAGCTAAACGTTCAACATTCATGAAGTTAATAAAGCAAAGGTTGTCCTAAGATTTGACTATTGAAGTTGTTTAAAAGACACTTGGAAAAATCAACAGACTAAACTGCTTTTTGCTATTGAAGAAAGATTTGAATATAAAAGCTTTTTTTGTTTTGTTTTTTACTGTTGACATTTTAAGCAGTAAGATCAGCAAGATTTATTTCATCATATCAATTGCAGGTCAGAATTTTCCCCATTTTAATTGTAAAATACAACGTGCACTGCTTTGTCTGCCATACTGTTTATGTGCAAATATGTGCAGACAGTCAGCCTGTTGCCAGAATTTTACCTGGGTTTTTTTTAATTTGCACTGAAAAATTAAATACTTTCTTGACTATTCAATGAGTCTGAGATTTTTTTAGTACAAGGCCATTATTGGAACATACTTCATGCATAGATGATGTTCATGTCCCAGCCTACTCATATCCACCGGTAAGAGGTGATTTCACAACGTTTTAGGATTGACCTAATGAATTGTGGGGTTTTTTTCTCTCTTGTAGTCAAAGACTACCAGTTGATTCAGAAATGTGGTCAAGAAGGCAGTGATTCCCAGACCCAGCTGAGACAGTACCTCCAGCACTTCGTTCTTATATCCACGCACCTTCTGCAAACCAGCATGGACAGTAGCTACGCTGAGGCGGTGGAAGCAACTTGGGTCTTGTCGCTCGCTCTCAAGGGGCTTTACAGAACACTTAAGGTATCTTTTGCTTGACACGTAGCATATAATAGATAAATAAAGGTTTGTATTCTACCTTGCGCTACAGGAACTTGTCTGAGCACATTGGGGTACTAACACAACTTTGTTTCTCTCACAGCTGGCTCCTTTTATCCCCTGTCTGCAGGGGGTTGAAAATGTCCCTAGGTTGAAAATTTGCTTGCAAATAGCATTTGTGAGTCTGAGTTGAAAGCTGGGTCGCTTTTCCTCTGGGGGGGCTTGACCATTCATGAAATCTGAAGAAGGAGTTTATAGGGGTAACGCTTTATGGAGTGAAGCTCATTCACCCCTTTTCTTACTTCTGAAGTATTTGACGAGGGGATCTGTATTTTTTTGGATTGTCAAAGCAAAACAGATATTCAGTTACTACTCTGTGTGTGTCATAGATGATACTCTTAAGGTATTTTGGGGTTTTTTTTAGGGACACGAAAGAAAAAGATTCCCAACGTAGTTCATCTGGGCAGGAAATTTATCTGAGGCCATGTGGTAAGGCCTCACAAGCATTGTGATGCACTGTTCCCTTTTTACTTATTTATTTGTGTATGTCTGTCTGTGTAGATTCATGGTTTTAAGGAGATCCAAGCTGCCTTTCTTCAGTCTGGTTTACTCAAGCTTCTAGTGAAGAAATGTAGCAAAGGAACTGGCTTCAGTAAGACCTGGCTTCTGCGAGACTTGGAGGTAAGAAAAGTTATGGTTTGTAAAAGATCAGGCTTCACACAGTGGCATGAAAGGTTACGGCACTGCACTTCCCCTTTGTGAAGAAAGTCTCAAGAGTATTTCTAATTAGTCTTTATAAAAATGTTCACTTAACTGTATCTGTGAATCTGCCTTCCTCTGTCCATCATAATTGTGTAGATAATAGTCTAACTTCTTTAATTAAAATCAGCTCCTGATTTAATCTGATTGTATTTGAAAGAAATTCGCAAGATGAGGCATTAGTCAGCTACTCAATTTCTTTTATGAATTTTATTTAGACTGTTCTTGAAAATTCCATTCTTCAATTTAAAAAATAATCATTAATCTCGAAGAAAAACATGATTTGCATTACTTACTGACATGTACAAGGTATTACTGCAGAGCAATATGGGGATATCAATATGCACGTGGGCACATTTCTTCTGAGTGTTCATTAATTGCTGGAAGATAAGTGTGGTGCAACTGTTAGTTATGTTTTATCATAGGCAACATCTGTGTAAATTCATACTTAGGACTGTACCAACAATAAGAGAGAGAAAGAGTAAAACCCTGGAATTGCTCTGAGCAGTTGCCCCAGGTGGTTGGTTAGAAATACTGCAGAATCAGATCCGTCCTGTGGGATCTTGCTGCCTCCTGCCCGGCAGCCAGAGCGCCAGCCCGGTCTGGGAGAGCTGTCCCACCTTCCTCCCCTTCGGGCAGCAGCGAATGAATGATGCAGGTGAATGATCTGCCCTGAGCATGAAAATGTCTTGTCACAGCTCTGTCTGCGTTACTGCTCAGAGCTGAGCCTGGCGCAAATTGGAGGGCCAAGGAAGTGTGTAACATTATTTTCTTCCTGTTATTAGTACTAGTGGTGTTGGCTGTGCTGAAGCCAAAGTTATGTTTTCAAAGAAGAGTGTGTAGGGGCATCACTGCCTTTTTCATGATAGTCACCTCTGTTCTGTTCTTGTCTAAGAATCCCCATCCCTGGAGGTGTTCAAGGCCAGGTTGGACGGGGCTTGGAGCAACCTGGGCTGGTGGGCGGTGTCCCTGCCCAGGGCAGGGGGTGGAACGAGATGATCTTTAAGGTCCCTTCCAACCCAAACCGTTCTATGATTCTATGAATCCTCAAACCTTTGATGTACTGAAATGGTTAAATAATTATTTTCTCGATTTTTTTTTTTTTTACACTCTCGGCTAATCGCTTAAGTTTTCTTTGTAGCAGTCTGGAAGGTGTAACTCATTTGTGAAGTGGGAAATGATTCCGGTTTGTGTGTTGGGTTTTTTTTTTTTCTTTTTTTTAGGTCCTGCTTCTTTCTGTAATAGCATGTGTTAAGCACTGTCCAAGTCTTGTAATGTTCTTATAAAATGCTGATTGCAGCTACACTAATATCTACAGCTGTCACACCATATGCTGCCTTTTTTCTGTGTAGATTTTGTCGATAATGCTGTATTCCTCAAAGAAAGAGATCAGTTCCCTGGCTGAACGTGAGGATACTGAACTGGAAGAAAGGGAACAAGATCAAGACGTGGAGCAACCCATTGTTGGTCCTGTTGATTCAGAGCAGAACAAACTTGATCCTCTGGAGGGTTTGGATGAAGCCACCAAAATATGCTTCTTGGTACTTAAACTTAATTTTACCTCCTTTGAAGCTACTGTGAGTTTGCTAGTTGCATAAAACATTTGGTAGTTTATATCACTGTTTTTCTTCCAGATTTACATAATATGGGTCTGTGGTTTCAACGTACTGTTACCTAAAGGAAATAAAATAGAACTACAGTAATGAACACTACAAAATCATTATAAAGCTTTTTGCTAAATTACTTTACATTTTTACTAATCCAGATATTAAGTTCATTAATTATCTACCTATATGATAAGTGGGAAAATAATACCTAGGTCATCCTGAAAGAAGCTCATCTTTCTTTTTCCCTGTAATGTCATCTTTTTTTGTCTCCTTGCTCAGATGACACATGATGCGCTTAATGCACCTCTCCATATTCTTCGAGCCATGTATGAGCTGCAAATGAAAAGAACAGATTCTTTTTTCCTGGAAGTTCAAAAGAGGTATGTGAAAGACTGGGTGCAGCAGAAAAACAGAGTTACTAGATGTGGGTGGTAACCTAAAATCTAATAGGTGCAGAACAGAAATTGTTCCAAGGATATGATTTGGTTTTCATGTGTGAAAAAGTAAGGAAATAAACTCCTACTAAGTTGTATTTATGGAAATCAGTCACCATCTTCTGAAATACGTTGCGTGTGCTATGATAACTCCCATATGAAGATCTACTGTGTCTCTAAATATCCCAACTGAGGAAGAATGGAGAGCTTACATGTGGCTTCTAGTAATCAAAGCATGTCATGGAGCCACCGTGTTCTCACAGAGATGAACCATTTTATAACATTTAAAACCTTTGACTTAGTAGAACAGGGGAGCTAGTTAACTTTATATAAAAATAGGTAGAGTTTAATGAATCTTTCTAAAACAGAGGGTGGGAAGATTTAATTTGCATTTAATTGCACTAACTTAGTTTGCATTATTTTTGAAACACATTTGCGTATTATATTTTTTTCTTTTGCCTCTTTTAAGGTTTGATGGAGATGTAATTACAACAGATGAGAGGATCCGAACACTGGCTCAGAAATGGCAACCCAGCAAGCGTTTGAAGTTGGAGGAGCAGAGTTCAAAAGCAGTGGATACAGATATGATCATCTTACCATGTTTGGTACGTACATCTCCACAAAAAGGAGCAGCTCTGAAATAATTGATTTAGACATTGAGTAACTTCAGTTTTGTTTAGTAACCTCAAACCCGAGATATTTTTTTTTTTTAACATCTGAAATAAACCGTTGTTAATGTTTTATGTCAAAGTGAATGAGCAGGTACAACAAGCAGCAAGTATTTCTTCCTTGTAATTTCTTTCTTAAGGAAGTAAGAGAACTTGATTCTCAGGTCAGGAGAACAAATTGTGATTTCACGCTGTAATTTCCTCTCCTTATACAAGCGAGATTGTATCTAATTACTGTAAGCTTATGCCGTAAGTGTTACTGTTTTAGCATATTATTGTTATCTTTTACAGTAATTCCAGCAGGACAAGGAAGCAATGAATTTGTCTTGTAAAGTAGACACTACAACTGCAAGCTTTAGGTTTTGCATTCAGTAGCGTGGTCCTACAGCTCTTTGCTTTGTTTTGGGTGCCGACTCCTGGCTGTGTGGTATCACCAGCACAATCCTCCATTGGTTGCATAGCAAAGTGGATCAAGGGCTTCCTGAAGTAGTTTCACATAATTCTAAGGAAAAAAAAAAAAAAAAGCCTTATACAGAGGCTGTGAAATATCCACCCCTGGAAATTCTCCAAACTTAACTGGACAAAGCCTTGATTTTGAAGTTGGCTCAGCTTTCAGTCAGATTTGGACCAAATGATCTCCAAAGGTCCCTCCCAGCTCGCCTCATTCGGTGTCACAAATAGCATGGCACTTTGTTGCTTTACCTCTGTAGGTCAGCTTAAATGAGTGCTTCTGGTTAGAACTCCCAACTGCTGGATCCACTCGCGTGCAGTCATGAAGGCATTGGAGTATAGTGAAGTCTGTTGACATAAACAGTCTTTTTGAGGAATTCTGTCCCTGTAGGTGCGTGAGAGATCATGCTGTTGTGTTCTCTGATACATCTGATTTTCAGTATGTAAAAGACAGATTCATTTTTAAATTCAGCTTGCAGTCTGGTGGACTGGTCAGATATGCAAACAGAAGGAAGTAAATTGTTGAGAGCCTATTTTCAACCTTGCATTTCTTTTTTTTGCAGTCAAAGCCTGCGCTCTGTGATAAAGCAACAGAAGAAACCAATCCGGTCGCCCAGAAACTGATAACCAACACAGAGAGTGATCTACAGCTTAGTTATGCCAAGCAACGGCGCACGAAGAGTTCAATACTCTTGCACAAGGAGCTGGACTCCAGAAGTAAAAAAGCTGTGAGGGACTACCTGTATCGTGTAAATGAGGCAACTGCTGTTCTTTATGCCAGGCACGTGCTGGCATCGTTGTTAGCTGAGTGGCCGGATGATGTGGCAATAAATGAGGAAATCCTAGATCTTAGTGGCCCAGCGCATATGACATACATACTGGACATGCTTATGCAGCTAGAGGAGAAGCAGTTATGGGAAAAAGTAAGTGGATTTCACCTGTGCATGTGAACAAGCCCTGTGCTTGCATGCCATGAGACTCTTGACTAACAAAACTACTTGCAGTTTCTTTTTTTTAAACTAAATTGAAACTCCAAAATGTAAATTGGTTCTGAAAAAGCAGTTGGAATCTGTCAGTCTCTTAATGTACTGATTTTGTTAACAGAAAATGGAAAAACTAGCTTTGTGGAGACAACTCTCAGTTATGAAAGAGATGTATGGGAAAATAGATCTTACTGAGAAATTGGTAAAATAGGCGGTCTGTTTTGAAAGCCGCTTTTTGTTAGATCTCAATGTGTATATCGTAATACCTGCTATTCCCTTGATGAGCTGACTGTTACCCTGGTGGAAGTGATCTTGGAATTATAATAGAATGTTGTAATGAAAATGTCAGCTCAGTGCTTCACAGCACTTGAAGCAAATCAAGTGCTGGGAACCTTCAGAGAAGGAATTAAAAATAAACCAGAAGGCATTGGTATGCCACTGAACAAATAGTGTGCCCTCACCTGGGCTTCAGCTTGTGACCTGACCCCCTCATTTAGAGGAAGAAAAAAAAAAAAAAGATGCCATACAACTGGAAGAGTTCTGGAGAAGAGTGGCAAGAGTTACTACAGCCATGGAATAACTTCAGTATGAGGATCCAACTAGTTTTCATGCCGGATCTTTGCCCTCTGGGGTCGTGGCGGGAGGAGGAGTAATGGAAAAGTCTCTTCCTTCTTCTCTGTGGTTTTAAAACAGTAAGCAGCATACGAAATTTAACAGCAAGTATTATTCACTGGCCCTCCCAGTAAGAAAACAAAGGAGTGTCAGATTAAGGTAATAAGTGGCAGGTCCAAAACAAACCAAAAGAACTGGTTCTTGACACAGTATGTCATTGAAATTGGTGCCGCAGGGTGTTTATATAGGTTCAGAAAATGACAGAATGAACTGATACAATAAGAATCTGTTAAGGCGTATTAAATTCAAAAGCGTAGCCGTCATCTTTGGCTGTTCTGCAAGCATGTGGAGGCAAAAAACATATTCAGGGAACTATGCTACCTACTGCCTTTGTTTTTTAAACTCCTTTTCCCCAAGATATCAATTTTTGGCTGATTTGGAGATGAACCTTTTGGTCTGAGCTTGCATTACATTTTCTAGGAGGAGTTAGAAGATTGCAGGTGAAGAGATGCAATGGGTTGCTATAATGACCTGGAAAGGGGCTCGAGGAGTAGGAGTCCCGATTCAGAGCTTTTGTGTGCTTTTGAAAAATAAGAAAAAGTGGAGACTTGGGTTGTTCTGAATTATCATTTAGTGTGTCCTGATAGACTAAATGGCATTTATATGTATTTTTAAAGAAACAGATCTTGCATCTAGTGCTTTGAAACACTGCTGCCACTTAACTGATACTTGATCTTTTCTTTTTTATACACGGAGTTGTACATTTTGAAGGCTAAAATGTATTCTATTCAAATCAAAACCTGTAGGTATAAAAAGTATAGGTGTCTGGTATGTTAACAAAGTTGTTTATCTTCATTGTTTACAGTTTTGGTTTACTGTTAATTACTTAATGGATTAGCCTTGATTCTAGCCTTTGTGGAAAGAGATGTAGCTAATAGCTCTCACATTTTTGTCAGATAAAAACTGAAAGATCTGGAACAGAGGACAGAGTAAAATCTTCTGTACTTATAGAGATGCCACTTGTAGATATTACTTGTGAATTTTTTTAGTTTCTCGGTAGTAGCTCAGTTCTCTCTTCCGAAATGTTGTGTGGCTGGAAATGACTCGTGTCAGTCATCAGCGTGTAAGTTTGTGAATGTTGGTTTGATAGTAAATTGTATTTATGTCCTGTGTTGCTTCTCCCCAGATCCTACAGAAAGTCCTGCACGGGTGCAACGAGAGCATGCTGGGAACAATGGCACTGACGGCGTGCCAGTTCATGGAGGAGCCCGGCATGGCAGTCCAGATGCGCGAATCCAAACATCCTTATAACAACAATACTAATTTTGAGGTGAGTTACACATGTAATACACGTGTACACTGCACTGGATTTGCGTGGTTTGAAGACTAGTTGAAAAACATCCGGGTGGTTGGAGCAGAAGCCTCCCAATGTTCCGCGCGTATACCCGTGGGACGTCCGTGCTTGTCGCCCCTGTGAAATACCTGCTCCGTCTTGCTTTCGGAGAGGCTGCTGCCAAACGACTGAGGCCTTGCCCTGTAAAGAAATATGTTCGGTAAGGCACTTGAGCGTAGTCCTCATTCAATCATGCAAAAAGTGCTTAGCTTAAATGGTTTTACTATGCCTGTGTTTGAAGCAGATCATGTACTTAAATGGTTTCAGGGCCTTAATGCGCAAAAAATTCTACCCTTTCACCCAACGGTCTGTTTTGCTTGGCCTGTTACTTCCTTGTGCTGATGGAAACAAGAAGTGGAGTCTTTCTTTCTTGTCTTCCTCATTTTAGACTATCTTCTCCTGATACAAACAGCTTCTGATTTTCTTTTCTTGCTATTGTTTGAAAGCATTTTTCTAATGTGTATTGGTAAGTAATTATTGCCTCTGGGCAGTCTTGGGATTTTTTTTTTTTCCTGCAGCTCTTACTCTTCTGATTTTTATTTTCAAAATATGTGTAAACCTTTACGATATGGCAATGAGATCAATATCAGCAACGATTTCTGCTTTTAAAAAGCAAAGCATTGCTGGCAATTAATTTTGACACTCCTAGCAGCTAATGCAAACAACAGGCCATGCTTTACATTTGTTAAATTAGCTCCTGATAAAAATAACAGAGAGGCTTTCTTCCCATGGAGGTGCTGTACTATTTGTCATATCTCCCTTGTTCATATGGTGAAAGTTAAGTAGCTTCTGGGTAATGTGGTATTGCAGTATACAAAGATGATGTGTTTATTTCTCAGGATAAAGTTCACATTCCCGGTGCTATCTACCTCTCAATCAAATTTGACTCTCAGTGTAATACAGAAGAAGGCTGTGATGAGTTGCTCATGTCCAGCAGCAGCGATTTCCAGCAGGATCGGCACAGCTTCAGTGGGTCTCCGCAAAAATGGAATGATTTTGAGCTTCCAGGTGAATACGCAGCCTTTTCAAAGTGCAGATGTGTAGGGA